AGTTATAATTCACTGCTTCAAAAGCTGCCAGAGCTGTTATCCAATACCTCCGTGAATCTGGGCAAACTCAGCTCTTCCCTCTAAAACAAGCGCTATGGCCTCGATGACCCTAAAGGCCTAAATCCAGCTCTAAATGCTAGAAGCTACAAATCCCTGGGATAAGGGAGGAAGACCAGGAAGCAAACAGTTCAAGGAAGGAGCAGAAAAACGAGACCCTTCTGTCTGCTGCCGGAGCTGGGCAGCTGGCGGGAGAGCGGAGGGTGGACACTGTGCAGAGGGTTTGAGGACAGAGGGCTGGGCTCTGCTACCAGGGGAACTTAGGTGGCTACTTAATGTCCTGGGGCCTCTTTGCTTCTGTTTCAAATAAGGGGAAACAGATGACCTCTAAGGCCTCTTCCAGGCTCTACTTATCATCTTGCATTAAGAAAACTCAACCTCTCTCCTCTCATCTGTAACATGAGAGGCTGCGTCATGTACTGGGAAGGGCACCCGATCTGAGGTTGGAGCAGATGCCAGCTACCTGCGTCTTGGGCAACCCATTATATTTTCTGAACCTGCCTCACAGAGTTTTTCGTGAAAAAAGCACTTGGAACCCTGAAAACACTGGAGCAAAGGGGAGGAAGGATGAACACCGGGGCACTCCTACAAATAAATAAGATCTCAATAGCCCACGGACCTAGGTCACGGGGTCACAACAGGAAAGGGCCTTTAGAGAGAACCTAGTCGAACCCATTTCAGATGAAGGGAAATCTATTTCTGGACGGCCTGCCCCCACACCCCCACCCCCGTGATTATGGGATTTGCCTCAGGTGACCCCGCTAGGAAGAGGCAGGGCCGGGGACTCCAACTCAAGGCTTCTGTCTCATCGCAAACGTCCTCACTGCAGACCCCCACCCCCGCCCTGTGCCTTGGGTGGAGGGCAGCAAAGCTCGGGCTCACGGTGCAGCCCTCCCCACGCCGATCTGGAGCGAGGAGGGGCCCCCCACTCTGGGATGACGCGACTGCCCTCGGGGACCCACCCGAACAAGTCTGGTCAAGCCTCAGTTTCCCGCATCTGCCTCTCGGGCCTAGTGGCGCTCCCGCCCCGCCTCAGTGGCTCTACCTCGAGGATGACCAGGCCCATGGGCCACAGCAGCCTAGGGGGGAAGGGCACAGCGGACATCCCTCCCCCGCGCCCCAGCCGGCAAAGCGCCGGCGCCCAGCCCGGGCCCAACGACGCCCCGACCCGGGCCTCACAATGGATCTGTGAGGTAAGCGCCGCGGGGGAACCCCAAGGCCGGGGGGGAGCCCGAGGCCCGGGGGGCTGCGGTCTCCCTCCCGCCCCTGTCTCCCGTCACCTCCCGGCGGCCCGCCAGTCCGCTCCTCACGCAGAGGCCTCTGCGGCCGGCCAGCCCCCCTACCTAACCGGGTCACCATGGAAACCATGCCGGCCGGCGGAGCCCCGCCGCAGCCGCCACAGCCTCCTTCTTCACTCACCGGCCTCTGTCGCAGCCCCGGCAACGCCGAGACGAGACTTCCGCCTCGCGCGGAAGCTCCGCCCCCGGCCGCGGTCCTGCCTTTGTACCGCCGCTGGGGGCGGGGCCGAGCGGCCCGGCCCAGGAATAGGGCCCAGCGATTGGAGGAGACGTCGCGCGAGGGGCGGGGCCCGAGAGGCCAAGGGGCGGGACGAGGCCTGGCCCCACCCGCTGGCTTCTAGCGGCACGTGCGCAGACCAACGGGCTGCGGCTCCGTTGCCGTGGGAACGAGAATTGCTGCCTCCCTGCTTTCCCCACCTCCCACCCCCACCCCGTCCGGTGCCCCTCAGGGCTGCTCGTCGTCTCACACCCCACTCCTCCAAAATTCTGGCCTCCCTCATTCCTCCCCTTCCACCCCTCGCCACCCACCTGGGCTCCCTGATAATCTCCTTGAGCCTCAGTTTCCCCCTCTGAAAATAGGGACAATATAGCTGGCACTGTCTCCCTCTGTCTCCCTCCGTGGGTGGTTGTGATCAAAGCGATTTGAAGAGAAAGTATCAAAATGCCAGGCTATGTCATTATTTTACCCCTTTTCTCTGGACCTCAATTTCCCCCATCAGTAAAATGAGGACCTATTTTACAATGTCCTTCAATCATCAACCAGCATTTATTCAGAAGCCCATCGCGCTTGGTGATGGAGCATACAAAGATGAAATGGAAACATTTCCCTGCCTTCAAGAAACTTACATTCAATTCAGGGGAAAGACCTAGATGATCATCAATACGAAATATAGACAAAGCAAACCCAGTGTGTTGTGAACCATAAAGCACCATAGAAAGGAGAAAGTTGGTGGTGTTATTTAATAATCCCTTCCCCTGTCTGAGATTGGGCAGACCACATAAGGGCTTTTCCAGCTCTCCTCTTCCATGAATCTGATGGAGAATTCCCCTCCCTGCTCTGGGCCTCAGTTTCCCCACTTGTAAAATGAGGAGAGTTAGACTAGATGGTCTCCAAGGTCCTGCGAGATTCTCCCAGGTAGAGTTGGGCACTCCTAGGCTAGCAGGAGCAGTCCACTGTACAGACTTGGCAGAGCTCCTGTGTATATACAGGATTGCCCCAGCATTTCAAGGCCTTGCCCCACTTTCAACGGTGCCCTATATTGGATCACCCAAGTATTCTTGCACACATAATCCCATGATCGTGATTGAGCAAACCTCACAATCGTGTTCCTGATCCTCAGCTCCTCCAAATGTTCTTTCTCAGATCTCTCTCCTTTCCTTCTCTTTCTTCCTCAACTCTTCTTCTCCCAACCCCATGGGCCTTCTGTGCCCGCCCCTCCACCCCAGCTCCTGATTCTCTCTCTCTTCAGCCATGGCTTCAGTTCTTTCCCTCAACCTCCCTATCCCTGGTCCCTTCCAAATCATGTGATCTCACTGGTGGCCAAAACCTAAGGAAGGAAGTGTTTAACCTGGCAGTGGGGGGGGGGGAAGGAAGGGAGAGGAGGGGTTTGGTGGATTATGGAGAGCCCAATCTAATGGCCTTTTCTCAATCCTCGTTCTCCTTAAGGTCTCAGTTGTTGACACTGTGATTCATCACTCTCTCTTCTCTCTAGGTTTTTGGGACACCCCTCTCTCACCTGGTTTTCCTCCTACCTCTCTGACCATTTCTCCCATCTCCTTTGCTGGATTCTCCTCCAGATCACACCCTCAGAGGTCCTTCAGGGTTCTGTCCTGGGCCCTCTTCTCCTTTTCCCTCTATACTACTTCACTTGGGGAGCTCATCAGTAGCTCCTATGAATTTAATGATCATCTCTATGCTGAAGATTCTCACATCTACCTTTCCTGTCCCAATCTCTGCTGACTTCCAATCTCCCATTGCCAGTAGCCTTTCAAGACATCTTGAATTGGATGTCAGGAGACATCTTAAACTCAATATGTCCAAAAAAAACCTCATTGTCTTTCCCCCTAAACTGCACTGGCCCTTCCCTCTATTGCTATAGAGGGTAACACCACCCTCCCAGCACCTCAGGCTCACAACCTAGGAGTCACCCTTGACTCCCCACTTACTCCCTCCTCCATATCCAATCCTTTCTATCTTCTTAACGACTCTCACTGTCGCTAAAGCCTGTAGACTTCACCTTTGCAACATTTCTCAAATACATCCCCTTCTGTCTTTCCAACACTGCCCCTACCCACATCACCTCATACCTGGATTATTGCAGTAGCCGGCAGGTGGATCTGCCTACCCCTCAAATCTCTTTCCACCTTAATCCATTCTTCATGTAGTCACTAAAGTGATCCTCCTAAAATGAAGATCTGATCATTTCACCCTCTTACTTAAACTTCAGTGGCTCCATATTGCCTCTAAGAACAAATACAAAATTCTCTTTGGGCACTCAAAGTCCTTCAAAACTAGCCCCCTCCTCCTTTTCTAGTCTTTTGATGTTTCACTCCCCACTGAGTCCCCTTTGGTCTAGTGACACCAGCCTCCTGGCTGTTCCACAACAAGATCTCCAAGTCTCAGCTCTGGGCATTCTCTTTGGCTGCTCCCCATGCCTGGAAGGCTATCCCTCCTCTACTCTAACTATTGACCTCCTGGGCTTCTTTTAAGTCCCAGCCAAAGTCCCCTGTCCTACAGGAAGCCTTCCCTAACCCTTCTTAATTACTGTGTTTTTCTTCTTTTACTTATTTCCTATTTATCCTGTATATAACTTGCTTTGGATCTGTTTATTTGCTTGTCGTCTCTCCCATTATATTGCAAGCTCCTTGAGGGCAGGAACTGTCTTTTGCCTTTTTTTGTATCCCTAGCACTTAGACCAGTGCCTGGCACATAGCAGATGCTTAATAAATGTTTGTATTGAATTAACAAGGGAGACCTTGGTTTTTACTAACTCAGTGACTAAGGGTCTCACATCACCTGTTAGGGCCCAAGTTCTCTTATCTACAAAACGGGAATAATACCTGCAGTACCCCACCCCCACTTATTTATCTACCTTACAGTATTGATCCTTGAAAGGGGCAACTTTGTGAAGTTTCTTGAGTGTAATAGGCTCTGAATAACAGTTTGACTGTTTGTGATTTTGCCAATGAGAATGAATGTCCATAAAGTGCTTAATGAACCTTGGTGGTGTTTTTATGACTAACCTCTCCGGACTTCCACTTTCCCATGTGTAAAATGAAAGGGTTGGCCTAGATCTCTGACTGTAGAATAGAAACTCCATGAGCAAAGGGGGCTATTTTTGACCTTGTATCCCTAGCTCCTAAGTGAGAGCCTCGTAAAGCATACCCGCTCCATAAATGTTTGTTGAATGAAATGTATGTAAAACCTATAACCTCACATCCAATGTAGGGGATTGTGAGTAAGCCTGTGTTTGGAAGGAACTGGGGCCTCTGGAAATAAGAGTGAGGGGATGACAATGCTGAGGCAGAATGAGGAAGGTAGGACAAGGGAGGGGAGAGTAAACGCCCAGCTGATGTCAGATTTCCAAATGAGCAGGGTCCCCTGCAGCCCAGCATAGACTCTACTGCAGCAGATGCCATGGGCCCAGACCACACAGGGCTGGTGGGGGAGGTCAGTTTAGCCTTGGATCCTTCCAGGCCCTCCCAGAAACATTCTGACTGTCACCTCAATGTGCCCATGACAGGGGAGGGCAGGGAGTTAGTCATTGACTGGGGCAGTGTGCCCACCCAGGGAAGGAGCCGGCTGTCAACCTCCCCCACTGGCTGGACGATTGGTATGTTCCAGGATGGAAGCAACTCCTTCCAGCATCCTTCATCCTTCAGGTACTAGTGGTCCAGACAGGCAGTGCTAACGCTTTATCACTTGGAACCAGCCCTTGAAGGACCTAAGGCTAGTCCTGACTCCCTTTTCAGGGATTGCTTCTATTCTCCTCTGAGCCTGCTATTTCTATCACCTGCATCAGAAAGCACCAGACAACAGGGCAAGACGCCCACTTCAACAAGAAGGTCTCTGTTTTCCTCAAAACCCCTGGATCTGCAGCCCACTAAAGCTTCAGGTCAGTAGTTAGGGGTGTGTGTGTGTGTGTGTGTGTGTGTGTGTGTGTGTGTATGTGTGTGTGTGTGTGTAGGGGGGCAGGCTTTCACCCACTGGATGGGGGTTTATGTGCTTTCTTAGGGTACATTCTCCATGTCCCTCATATCTTCCAGTTCAAGAGGGTTCCAGGATGCTGAGGAGGGGGCCGGGATTGAAATTGATTCTTTCAGGAAATCCTGGTTTAAATGACCCACAAATTGTTTCCTGAATTTGAACAGGTCTGGAGAAGGGTAGATGTAGGAAGTCAGTGAATTCATACCCTTCATGTTCCCTTCCCACAACCATTCTCAGCACTGAGGACAGAAGGGTGGAAAGGCTCTTGGAGAAGGATGGGGATTATCTAGCAATCTTTCTTAACCACCCTGATCCTACCCCAATTCCAAGCTCCCCAGTGATAGAAAGAGAGGCTCAGAAAGGAATCAAAGATCGGGACAAATGTCCTCAACCCCCTCAACGGTGGTCTTTTAAACAGAAGCTAGGGCTGCTTGTCCAAAAGTTGCAGGGGTGATTGATTCCTGGTCAGGTCTGGCTTGCACTAGATGCCTCTGAAGTCTTTTCTAATTCAGAGACCCTGTGATTTTGCTAGAAACGGCTGAGGGTATGCATGACCGTGGGGGTGCTGTTCATCTTGGGCTTTGCGGCTTCCTTACTGCAATGAGAGCATGGTTCTCCACCCACCCCCACCCTGCACCTGTCACGCTCTGAGCTGTCCTTCTGCTTTCCTCAGAGCCACGATGAAAGGAGAGACCCCCGTAAACAGCACCATGAGCATTGGGCAAGCCCGAAAGCTGGTGGAGCAGCTCAAGATAGAAGCCAGCATGTGCCGGATAAAGGTGGGTGGGACCCTCCGCCTCCCCCCTTAGCCTGGCCCAGCCGTGGAGTCTCTGTCGAATAGAGGATAGAGGTCCCTCTCTCAATAATCCTTTCTTCACTTGAGGAAGAGCTGCCTTCCAGGCTCATATTGGGTAGGGGGAGTCGTCTTTGGACTCTTTAGGGTGGAGGGAAAACTATGCCCAGAAACCTGAGGAAGGGGTTGGTTGACAAGAGAATTTTGCATTCAGGGCCCCGTGGGACCAGCAGGAGTGGACCCCAGGGATTTCGTTTTGTGGGTTTCTCTTGGGAGCAGAGTGGCCTTTCGTCCCCTCGGGACTCCTGGCTCACAGTCCCATCCCTCTCCTGGTGGTACTCAGGTATCCAAGGCAGCTGCTGACCTGATGACATACTGTGATGCTCACGCCTGTGAGGACCCCCTCATCACCCCTGTGCCCACCTCGGAGAACCCCTTCCGGGAGAAGAAATTCTTTTGTGCACTCCTCTAAGCGCCTGCCCCCCACCCCCGCCCTGGACCCACCCTGCGATCCCTCAAGCTGCCCCCAATCCAAACTCTGGCCCATCCCCCGAGGGTATCAGAAGCACAAGCTAGCCCTAAGCCCCTACCCGTCAGCCCCGTCTCTCCTCCCACCAAGGACAGCTCCAAGGAGGGCCAAGCGAGGGGACTCGCGAGGGTCGCCTCTCGGCCTCCGCCTGGCCCGCTGACCGTGGCACCGCCTTCCCCGGGGGCCGCAGACGATGGAGCGGGGGAAGGGGACTGGGGCTCGACGGCTGAGCCTAGCGGGGGGTTGTGGGGAGCAGGAATAAAAGCACTCGCTCTCGGAGGGAGCTCTGACATCGCCCTTATTCAACCTAGCTCGACGAGCGCAGACTGCTGGGGGCCCAACCCGCGGGGGGACGGGGGCGCGGGGCGGGGCAGTGCGGGGGGGGGATTGGGAGACGGAAGGGGGAGGGGCTCCTAGGAGGGGCGGGCGCAGCCTCCAACATGGCGCCCCCCATAGCTCGCTTTCTCCCAAGATGGACGCCGCCACGGACCGCCGCGACATGGCCCCGGTCGGGCGTACGGGGGGCGTCCCCGGACGACTCCATTCTTAAAATGGCGGCGCTCAGCCTGGTTCTCTTTGTCCCCGACAGGGTCCCATCCGCGCCCGTGCTCAAAATGGCGGCCCTCCGCCCCCACCCTCGTGGACTGCGGCAACGGGACCGTGGGCGGGGCCTCCCGCTGGAGTGGCCCCGCCCCCATCCCGACTCCGCCCCTCCTAAGGAGCGGATTGCGGTGAGGGCTGCGCGTGCGCATTGGGCTGTTAGCCCGCGTGTCCGGGACCCCGTAATTTCCACGCCTTACCGATGGGGAAACTGAGGCCAGGAGAAGGGAAGGAGCATCTCCAAAGGGGCCACATCGTATTCCAAAGGGAATACGAGCCCTGAAAAGGGAACACTGAGGGCAGGGCCCCTGTCAGCTGTTGCTGGCCGGGAGTCGAGGGTGGGGGTCTTCGGATGCCAGGGCCTCCGCCTCCCCCCTCCTCCCAGAGGCTCGCGTCAGGCACCCCGAACGTCTCTGCCTGGAGCCCCCCAAGACCGCCCCTGCCCCCTCCCCCACCTGGCCTGGGGCACTCACTGGGAGGGGTGGTCACCTGGGTAGGGCCCAAACGTGGGGCAGGTGGCGGTGCCCACCGCCCCCCCAAGGGCCGCCAGGGCAGAGTCCGGAGGGCCCAGCATCTTCGGTGGGGGAGGTGGGAGACTGGGGAGAAAGCCCGGGGAACTCATCCAAACAGCGATTTCTGAACCTGAGAGGTGGCTGCCTACAGTTTGGTCCAAACGTTGTAAAGGACGGGAGAAAAGTGAACAGCTGTAGACAATGACACGAGTGACATTTTTTTCCTCTTTTACTGGCCACATCCAATAACACTTTACAGGTTTTGTAAAAGTATTCACAGGCTTTTTTATTTTTCTTACAAGCTTTTCCGTCTACAAGAACTAAGACATTCAGAAAAAAACACAAAACAAGTGTTCTAGGAAGAACAAGGCCAGAGATGCCTTTTGTTACCATTATCCATGGGTTTTGTTCCCCTTAAAACTATTTTTTTTTAAACCAGAGAGACATTGACTTTTGACAAAGGATCTCTTGGTCTGTATTGACCAGGGTGTGGCAGTTACATTGCTCCCTCTCCAGAAAACCTAGCTTCTTTACAAACAGCCTTTCTACAGCACCCGTCTCCTGGCTTTCCCCCTTGTACCCTCTCCATGCGTCTGGAGCCCCCTTACCAGCCCCTCAGTCCAGATTACTTCCCACAGCGCTGGGAGAGCTCCAGACTGTTCACCAAGGACAGCACTTACTAAGGAAATGCAAGGTGGGTTGGCCTGGAGCCCAGCTGCCCTGGGCTGTAATGTGTGCCTCCAGCCACTGTCACCCACCCTTTCGGGGCAACATCAGGGGCCTGGATGCCCCATCAGCTCCTGACTCATGCCAGCTGGGGGGCCACAGTGTCTGTCAAGGACAAATGGAAAGAGTTAAGAGTAAGGACTCGGCTTCATGCCAACAGGCTGGGATGGGAAGATAAAACAATTTCAGACAGGATTTCAGACAGGCCAGCGCAGGCAGCCGCTGGGGAGATGCTGAGCAGGAAGGGAGCAGAACCCAAGGGGGATAGTCCATCTCCAGAGAGCAGGGGGGTAGGCTCATCCTACCCACCCCACAACAGCCACATGCTACCTCTGCTACAGCAAGGTCTCCACCAGCTTCATCCCACTTGGTAAAGAACCAGCTGAAAATGGGGAAATCTACACTAAGGCATGGCCACTGAAATCGCACCTGGAGGTCTCTCCCATGTGCACACACTCCCCTTTGTTCATCCTGGGAGCCCACTTCCTGCACTGGGCCTCCTATCCATCCCCCCCATGCCTCTTTCCTGGCTCCACTGTCTATCACAATGGGGGAGGATGACCCTTTCCACACAGTACAGAATTGCTATTCTTGACCCTGGGAGCTGGCTGCTCACATCAAAAGATCTGCCTCTGCACATATCACGCTCCAACGAGTACGAGAATCCTGTTGCCTTCGTTTGTGAAACCCTGAGAATGTTCCTCCTCTTCCACTACTCGAGAAGGCGGACACTGCACAGGAATGCCTTCTGAGGGCACCCCTGGCACACCCTTGGAAGACAGAGATGGGCACTGGCAAACCAGGTTCTCCATGCTGGTGCAGCACGCCCACTCACCAAGCTTTCAGGAAAGTGCACTGACAGACAAAAAGAACCGAACACTCTGCTCCAGACCCAAGCAGACCTTGCCCCGCTGAGCCTGGGAGTCCTATGCAACAGGTGCCTAACAGCCAGCTTCCATGCCTTGGCCACCAGCACCAAGACACCAGATGGGAGGCAAGGACACGCTGACCTCCAGCCCACCAGACCAGACATCCCAAGAGGGAAAGGCTGGTAAAGAAAACACAAGCGGTGAGTGGTGCGAATGGCTGACAAGAGCCAATCCTTTATTTTCACTGCCCCGGGCCCAGCCCTCTGGACCTCTCCCCCACCTAGCCGCCAGCCCAGCTGCCTCGGGATGTCGGAGGTCAGGCTAGCACACTGCTTGTCCAGTCCCTTCATTACAGGGACAGGGCAGGCGTCCCTAGAGCTGCACTATGCACAAAGGCCTGTGATTACAAATGTCTAACTAGATGTGAAATGTTTGATAGAAGAAGACAATATTCTTTTCAACAACCTTTGTTAAAAAAATGTACAGTTTTTCCTGGTTTGCCTCCTCCCCCTTCGCCCCCTCCCCCCAGCCCGTTTCTCATTGGTTGTGCCTGCGGCTCGGGGCCCCGAGGCTTCGCTCCTTGCGGCCGGGCCTTCACCGATACCCTTGGTAGCCATAGTAGCTCCTGTAGTATCGGTCTCGGTCCTGGTAGTAGTAGCTCTGCCACTAGAAGAGAGTGGGGACAGCCCAGTCAGCCAGGGCCAGGAGGGTCATCCGGCCCCTCTGCCCCAGCGTCGGCTCCTCCCACCCACTCACCTCCCGGTTGTACTGCCTGTAGTAATCCCTGTAGCGGTTGTAATCACAGTCCCGGCCATAGAATCGGTCATAGTCTCCTCGGTAGCGATCGTAGAAGTGCCGGTAACCCTGAGTGAGAAGGAGATGTGTGGAAGAAGGCTAAGGAGGGCCTGGGGGCTTCTAGCACCAAGGCCTGAGGCAGCTGCAAAGTGCTGGCTCCGTGCCAATCGCCATGCTGGGCGCTGACACAAAGATCCAGAAGACACAGTGCCCCTGCCCTCGAGGAGCTCACAGTCTAGCCCGTGGTCTTGCCGGGAGGGAGAAGCCGGAGGAGAGCTACACTCACCCCTCTGCTTCCAGACTGCCCCCAGTACTGCTGCCCATAGGCACGGCTGTCGTAGCCCCGGCGCCCGCCGGCTGGAAGAGAAACGGAGAATGGCTCTCAGACAGCTGCTTGGGGCTCTTGGCTGCAGGGGAAGCTGACGGAAGAAGAGCTGGAACCCAACCGGGTCCGAGAGGAATGGCTCGGTGCCAGCCACGGGGCAGACTAGCCCCCTGGCCAGGCGGCTCCTCCTTCACTTCTACCAGCTATGTGAGAAGGACACAGCGATGGCGCGGCAGGTGTAGGCACATAAGAACACCCGCCTTCCAGAGGATACAGGGACTGAGAAACAAGGAGTCAGCCCCTCCATTTACAGAGGAAAGGATGTAAAAAAGGCAGCAGGGTCAGGGCCTCCTCAGCAGGCTGGCCTCCCAAGGGCAGGATGGTCCATCCCAGGTCAGCTGCTGACTGGCTTTTGTATCGTCACACAAACCATTTTTCTTTTTTCTTTTTTTTTTTTTTTTGGCAAGGCAATGGAGTGAAGTGACTTGCCCAGGGTCACACAGATAGTGAGTATCAAATGTCTGAGGCCAGATTTGAACTCAGGTCCTCTTGACTCCAGGGCCGGTGCTCTATCCACTGCGCCATCTAGCTGCCCCTAAACAAACCATTTTTCCCCAACCTCAGTCTCCTCCCTGCTCCAGCAAGAGCAGAATGACACTTCACGACACACAGATTAATGACAACCCAGTGGCAGATGAAAAGCCAAGACCCCAGCACACTAGAGCGGCAGGGGGAGATCACAGGGAAACAAGGCCCGCCTGAGGGCCAGTCCGGGAGAGCCCCTTCCCCAAAGCCTCCACACACGAGGAGCCTTGGAGGCCGTGGGGGTGCCCCACGAGGACAACAGAGTGCTGGGCGTACGGAGGGAAGGGGAAGAGGGAGGAGCACAGAGTCCGTGACCGGCCCCGCAATGGTCAGCAAGCCCAGGAGGTCAAGGCGGGGCAGAGGGGACAGCAGACTCCTGCCCCGTGCCCTGCCCCCCCCCCCGCGCCCCATCCCCACTCACCGTAGCCTTGGCCGCGACTTCGGCTCTGCCGGTTGCGCTTGTTCCGGTTGTTTCGGCGGTTTGTCCGCTTCTCGGAAGGCGGCAGCAGCTTCCTCGCCTCCTCTTTGTATCTGGTGACCAGAGGCTGGGCCTCCTCCTTCTCCAGTTCCCCAAAGGTCACCTCCTCCATATAGTCACATTTTTCAGGCAGAGAGAAATTGGCTATGAATTTTTTAAAAAAGGGGGGTGGGGAGGCTTAGAGTAGAATAGACGATCTGGGGCCTTTTTTCTTCCTCTTGAAGATTCCAGAATGGAAGTGACCGGCTATCACCAGCCCTGCAGACACCTACAAGATTACCCCCCCCAACTTGGCACACATAGACTCTATCAACGGTTGACCCTAGATTTGGTTAGCCAAGTGTAAGGCTCTCTGCAAACAGAGCAAGAC